GCCGCCCGGCCGGGAGGAGGCGCCCGCGGGACAGGCCCTCGGCAGGGAGGGGAAGTCCCGAGGCCGGGCGGAGCCGACCGGCAGAGGCCCTTCGGCCAACTACCCGTTGCCTGCGCCCTAGGAGGGGAACCCGAAGGCCAGAAGGCAGGGGGAAGAGGGAACCCCCTCTCCCTCGTCCCGCCCGCCCCTCCCGCAATTTCCTCGATGAAACACGGACGGGTTGTTTTTGTTTTTTTTTTTTTACAAAATGTATTCATCTTCCTTGGAACTGAAAAATAAATCTATGTACAAAACAGGAAGAGATCAGGCTCCCCTCACCCACTCGCAAACCCCTGCAGATTTCCTCCGGAGTCCCCTGAGACGGGCAGGACCTCGGGGAGGTTCCCAGAGGGTCGGAAAGAGGTCTGCTCTGATCTGGGGCCAGTTTGGTCAGGAAGGGGGCGGGGCTCAGGATTCACAGGCCGGACACTGCGTTTCGTGTCCCAGACTCGCAGGACAGAGAAGGGAAGAAGCTAGGATTTCCAAACTCTGAAAGTTTAAGTTCTTTGGGGTAGGGGGGTTGGATTCCCAAGGGATGGAATTCTGAAGTGCGGAAATGTACTCCTAGGGGCTGAGCGGAGTCCCAGGTTCCCGGGTTGGAGACGGGACCTGTGCTTCTGGGGTGTAGGGCGAAACCTCAGCCCCACGGGCCTGGGAGCAACCGTGAGCAGCCCTGGTCTGGCCCAAGGTTAGAGCTTCGGTTCTGAGGTGGGGCCCTGTTTCCAGTGCTTGGACCTTTAAAGATTAATGATGGAGCTCAAAGTGAGGTTTCCATTGGCCGGCTGGGATTCTGGGGGATGGGATCTGCAGAGCCCTGGAGTAGCCCGTACTCCAGCAACTTGCAGCCCGGATTCCGGGTGGGGGTGGGGCCTGGAAGAGGGGCTTAGGCCCCCTTGGCCCGGGGGAGGGGCTTAGGCTCAAGGGGCGGGCGGGGGAGTGGGGGTGACTGGGGTGGCGCCCTCCTCCCCGCACCGCAAGGGCTGACGGGTCGTTCAGAGGCCCTTGCGCTGGCGCTTGAGAAAGGAAAGAGTGTAGTCGCTAGGTGTGGACACCTTCTGCTTCTTCATCTGCACTTGAGACTGCGCCGTGAGCTGCAACTTGATGGCGCTTGAGTTGATCTTGGTGGCCACCAGCAGCTCCTTCATGCCCTTCATCTTCTCGCTCTGGAAAGTGAGCACCGGACCCTCCGGTGGCGGCGACGCTGCGGGTGCAGGCGCCGGAGCCGTGCTGCCTCCTTCAGGGCCGCGCGCAGTGCCGGGGACTGTCCCTGGGGGCTTCCGAGGGGGTCCCGACATCGCCCCCTGGCCTCCGCCCGGGCCCTTGTCCAGCGCCGGCTTCTTAGGCGGCGGCGGCTCCTCAGGCTTGGACTCACGCCGCGGGCCTCGCCGCCGTCCCTCCCGGGCTTCCTCGCCCCACAGCTCCTCGGCCTCAGCCGCCTCGGCCTCGCGGCTCACGATGCGCACCTTCTGCCGCACCTGGACAGGGAGGAAAAGTGAAGGAGAGACTGCAGGCCAGCGGCTGGAACCCCAAGACCAGCCTCGGCCGCTGCGTCCCAGGGCCTGTCTTATCTGCACCCAAAGGGGACAAGCCAACCCTCTTCAGAACCACAAAGGTTCTGCTTCGGCAGCTGCCATCACCCCCTGGCCCCCCCAAGCCACCCTGCACAGCTGCCCCTCACCTGTCCCTCGAAGCGGCCTAGGGACTGCACGAGGAAGGTGGCCCAGCCCACGTGCAGCACGGGCGTGGGGCTGCCCTCTTCCCACTTGCAGATGCCGTCATAGAACCGCAGCAGGTGGGCGAAGCACTCTGGGTCCTGGAGGGCAGAACCCTGGCTCTGGGTCCCCTGGGCAAGGGGAAATGAGGGCGCAGGTTAGACCCCCGCCTTAGGCACCCCCTATCACAGGGCACAGTCCAAGCCCCTCGCCTAGGCAGAGAGCCCTGGCTTCAAAAGAGGTGAGCACAGGGGAAAAGATCGCTTAGAACCTCTTTCCTTTTATAAAACCAGTCCTTAGCGAGGACTTGGGGGGGAAAGCAGAAGCCATCTCTTACCTACACCCCACACCCTCAACTGAATGAGGGGTACAGACCATGAGAGAGATGGGCTTCCACCCCCTTTACCTGAAGGCACAGGGTAGAAACCCCTAAAATACCCTCAGCTCCCTCAGAGCCAGGCCGGGGACCCCCTACTGCAGCAGAGAACGTAGCTCTCCGCGCAGGACCACCTTCCCCCGGCAGGCCCCAGTCCTGCACCGTAGCCCCCCATCCTACACAGCAGTCCCTGTGTCCTGGGATGGGGAGCCCTGCTGGGGGAGAGGGGGAAGGTGAACACGGGCTGCAGCTCCAGCTCTTCACCTGGGTCTGCTCCCCTGGCCGCTCCTCGCCAGCCTCCAGCAGGCTAGCTGCCTCCTTCAGCAAGTTGGGGATGACATCATTGGCTACTTCAAAGAACTCCTTGTAGATCTCCTCGTCTTCACGGCAGTAGTTGTAGCTGTGAGAGCAGTAGGGCACTGTGAGGTCTGGGCCACGGCAGGGACCCCAGGGGACCTGGTGAGCGGTTGGGGTCTTCACTTGGAAATGATGGGTCTGAGCAAGGGGCCGGGGGGGCGGGGGGCGTGGGGCAGGGCATGTGGATTCTACTGCTGGATGTCAGTGGTTGGAAACTGGGAGGCCAGGGGAGCCAGGGAAAGGTGTGAGGCCCTCGTCGAGGGGTCCCAACCTCCTGCGTGATGGTGGCCTTGGCTGCCTAAGGACTGGATGGAAAGGGGATAGGGCTGGGGACCCAGGCCTCAAGCCTGGATGAGGGTGGTTGGAAATTAGGTAGAAGGGGAAGAAGGGCTGGCCTGAGGCCCTAGTCGGGGGATCCTCACTCCTGGATGACAGTGGCTGTGTCAGCCCAGGCCTGGAGGGCTTCGCGCACATTGCGGTTGCGACAGTGGTAGCCAGCCAGGTACATGTAGGGGTAGATGTGCTCATCCCGGTAGTAGGTCTTGGCTGAGGCAATGCCCTGGGGATAGAGCGGAGGGACCTCAGGGGGCAGCCCCAGTGGCCCTGGATGGCACAAATCCAATTGGGTCACACCCATGAGGCACAGTAGGCAGATCCCAGAGGGTCCCGCCTCCAGTCTCACCTCCACCCCCTTCTATCCTCTCTGCCAGGTGCTCCTCCCCAGGGTCTGCAGGACTACCTGCTGAGGCCTGGGCCATGCTGCAGGGGGCAGGGACCCCCAGAGAACAAGGGCTAGGAAAGGGAAAGGACCCATCCTCCAAGCTCGGGACATATCCATTTCCCTGGCTTTCTGACACACTCCTACACAAACACCAAAGCCTTCTAAGCCCAGCGCAATGTCCATCCTGGCCCCCCACCCCCACAAAGTTAACAACCCCTCCTCAGTGCTCCCGCCACATGTGACCTCTGTTACACTCTAGGACAATAAGAGGCAGCAGAAAAAGCAGGGCTGAGAGAACAAATTCAGGCCCCACCCCTCCCAGGCTGGGGAACCCAGAACATCCCTCAGACAGCCCTGACTACACTGAATATGCGCATGGTAAATGCAAAATGGGAAATGGAAGGGCGATACCCCCCAATACACATAAAGTTCCTCTCTCCTCACCTGCCCCCTCCCAGTCCCCAGGTAGAAGGGGACCCCAGCCACTGTTGGGCCTCCCTTCTGTACCCTCCTGAGATGTCCCCACCTTGTGGTAGAGGGTGAGTGGGTCTGGCCGGCCAGGGGTGGGCTCCAGTTCCTCCAGATCTGCCAGGTTCCCCAGTGCCATGGGGTACCTGGGAAAGGGTCATGAGTCCAGGCTGCCTCCCAGCGCCCTGAGGCCCAGCCTGGCCACTTCCCCCTACTGACCTTTCCAGATGTCCCAGGTCGTAGAGCAGCCAGAGCAGCTTCTAGGGGGGGCCGAAGGAGAGAGGTATGAGCTGAGGGGAGGTGAGGAGGGTCTCTCAGTCTACCAGGCAGATATGAGTAGCATACCAGCAGGGACCTCCCACCAGGTGGGTGGGGCCAAAATTCAGGAACCAGCCCCTTATAGGAGTCAAAGCCCTTTCACATCTCAATTCTACTTTCCCAAGAACCCTGGGAAAGGCCAGGCCAAGAATGAGTAAACCCCTGTTACCAAAGGGGAAGCTGAAGCTCGGGAAGGGAAAGTGCCCCCGCCCATGGTCCCACAGGCACCTCTCACCTGCTGCAGCTGCAGCAGCTCCAGGGAGTCGGTGTGCAGGTCAATGGAAGGGTTGATGGCACACACCATAAATGCCACCTCCATCTTTCGGTCACAGCGCATGTATGATCCTTTCAGGTACAGCCAGCTCTTGGGAGAGGACAAGACCAGATGTCTCAGGATGGCCCCACCTGTGCCTGCTCCAGGGAATGACAGCCAGAAAAGGGGCACTCCCCCTTCTCAGCATATGAAGGTGGTGCCAGGAAGAGGGGAGGTGGCTTGGGCTAGGAGAGGAGAGTGTGAAATGGACAAGGTGGGGGGAGGGGGCATACCCGCTCAGCCACACCCGCGTTGACTGTCTGGCCCCTGCGATCTTCGTTGCCCTTGCCATGCCAAGTGACCTCAGCTGTCTGTTCTCCGTTGGGCCCAAACACTACCCAGGCATGGTCCTCAGACAGGGCCAGGTGGACATCCCGGAGACCCAGAGCCTGGCAGGCCCCCACCACGGCAAAGGCCACACCAGAGCTGTCCAGTTTAGTGCCTGTGGAAGGGAAGGGCATGGAAGAGGGTCCTCTGAGCTCTGACCTGGGGAAAGGGGCCAGGTGGTGATGGGCCATGCTCCCTCCCACCCTCACCTCCAAGCCTGTGCCCAAACCTTAGATGCTCCTGCCCATCAACTCTCAATCCCTTTCCTCCTATGTGTTCGAAGCCTCTCCCTCCCCCTTGACGTGCTGCAGCAAAAGACCTTCTTGGCTCTTCCACAGCTCCACCCACCCTTTGACCCTGTCCCTTCTCTTTCTCTGCAACCATATTATGTTTTATTGTGCCTATTAGATTATAACAGGGACAGCAAAAATGGGACCCTCTGGCCAACACTCTTTCTTCACACACCCACTGGTAGATACTCCTAATTTATCTCCGTACTTTTCCTGCTAGGCGCAGAAGCAGCCCAATTCCTTCTCAACGTGGCTCTCCAGGACCTGACTGCCAGTCAACTGGGCTTGGAGCAAAGTAGAAAGTTCTTTGCAAGCCCTGAGTCTTAAGCTCCTTGACACGAAGCCCCTCCCTCATCTGTTCACTTTCATTTAAGTGTCTCAAATGTAGCCAGATTTTGGCACCTCACTCCCCAGATTCGCTCCTGCCTTTAGTGCCTCATACTGGGCTGAGGGTCTCCTGTAGCTGCTCAATGGCAGGGATGGGGGTGCTGAGGAGGCAGAGTCAAGTGATTGAGGTGCAGGCCCAGCCCTGCCATTCCGTGCCTTTGGCATATCACTTCCCTTCTCTGTGCTTCAGTTTCCCTAGCTGCAAAGAGGGTAATAACACTTGCCCCACTTCACAAGGCTTACAGGTCTTAAAGGGCTCTGCAAACCATACAGTGTTGTGAAGAGGTCGGCCAAGGTTCCCAGGTGAGACAGGATTCTCCCCCTTTGCCACCTGTCAGGCTCCAACCTGTGATGAAGCTGAAGAGGGATTGGATGTGGGCCCGATCCTTGAAGTAGGAGCGGCTGAGGCTGTTCCAGATGACATCGGAGACCTTCTTCACCAGTTCTCGGCTGGAGACACCCCCCTCTCGCGGGTAGAGAGACAGGTCGACGGCGCCACGGATCTGGGCGGTGAAGCGGGCATACAGCGCGGCGATGATGGATAGGTCGGCCACAGGGAAGTAGGTAAGCCCGCCGGGTGGGTCGGGCGCGGGGCTGGGCTGGAAGGTGAGCTCGGGCACATTGGTGGGGATGACGCGGTTGACAGCTAGGAAATGCTCCACGAAGCCCAGTACCAAGGATAGGAGCACCAAGTCCGGTTCCTCTCGGCCCAGCTCGGCAGCGAACAGGCGCACCACGTCGTCGATGGAGCGCAGCGGGAACAGCGTCTTCTGGGCGGCCTTCAGCCCCATGGCGGCGGGCCTCGGCCTGCGGGCGAGCCGGAGGAGGGAGGGTCGGGCGGGCACGACCAGGGAGCCCCCTCCCAGGCTCAGCTAAGGTTCTACACGCCTATTCCCTACATTCTCTTGCTTCCCCGCCCCCCTGGCCCTCCGCTCATCTGTTCCCCCTCTTCCGTCGGAGACCCCTTAGCCGAGGCTGGAAGGGCCTCCTCGTCCCCCACAACCCCAGCAGCCGCGGCCCCGATGGGGGTGCGCCTCTAGGATCCCGCTGGGGAACCCTCCATGGTCGCTCCTACCCCTCTCTACGACCGTACCCCGGACACCTAGGGTCCGTCCGGAAGGCGCCCCTAAGCCATGCCCCCCAAATCCCAAGAGGAGTCCTGGCCTGGGTCCCCCGCGCCCACCTCCGCGCTTACATCCCACACAAGGCACCACGGCGCCCGCCGCCTGGAGCCTGCTGGGAAATGGAGTTCCGCCCCTTGGGCCGCACTGCCTGCCGGGAAGTGCAGTCCCGGGCCCTCTCCTGCCCTTGCCGTGTCTTGAAATGGTGGCCGGGCCGACAGTCCGCGGTGGCTGATGGGAGTGGTAGTCCGCTGCTCTGGGCTCCCCAGCGGTAGGTGACGAGTGGAGGCTGCGCCACCTTCCTGAGGTCCTCGGGGATTGGTCACTCCATTTCACGCCCTCCAGGTAGGCCGTGAACCGCGGTGCATTCTGGGAGATGTAGTCCAGGGAGTGACCCAGGCATTCCTCAGGCGGTCACTAAGCTTAGGCTGTCACGTGACGTCAAGATGTGAGGAAAACTGGGGCGCCTGGGGTGGCTCAGTCGTTAACCGTCTGCCTTCGGCTCAGGTCATGACCCAGGGTCCTGGGATCGAGCCCCACATCGGGCTCCCTGCTCCGCGGGAAGCCTGCTTCTCCCTCTCCCACTCCCCCCTGCTTGTGTTCCCTTTCTCGCTGTGTCTCTCTCTGTCAAATAAATAAATAAAATCTTTAAAAAAAAAAAAAAAAGAGTTTGCCTGGTACAGGAAGAACAGTTTAGGCGGGGGGAAGAGCATGAGCAAAGGCCTGGGAGAGGAAGATCCGGTGCAGTCCACTGAGGGCAGAGCAGGGGCTGGTCAGGCAGGAGGACCCTCCGCAGCCCGGCCCTCTGCAGGCCTTACCCCAGCCTGTGGGCACTGCTGGCCACAGCAACTCGTGGATGCGAGACTTGCGGCCGGCGCTGTCCACATAGACCCCCGCAGTGGTGAAGAGCAGCAGGAACTCACTAAGGCTGAGCTCCACGGCACCCAGCGCCTCGCCCAGGCCCCCGCGGGACGGTGGCAGCTCCTCGGGCACCAGACCGGCCCCTAGCGCTAAGGGCGCAGCCTCGTTGAGCAGCGGGTAGAGGGCGAAGGCACCAGCGGCTCCCACGCACAGCCGGTCGCCCAGCAGCCCCAAGCTCTGCACAGGTGCGGGTGCCTGCAGCTCTCGGATGCGGCGCTGCCAGGGCCCCGGGCCTGGGCCCAGCTGGTAGCAGAGCACCTGGCGCTTGACGGCTACACAGAGAACGGGGGTGCGGGCCTGCAGGATGCACCCGGCTGCCAGCACCTGGCAGCCTCGAGACTCGGGGATCTTGGCACCCACCACCTCCGCGCTCTCCAGCTTGGCCAGGGCGAAGAGGCGCACGCTGGGGCCACGGCCACACAGTACGACCAGAAGGCCCGCCGCGGGGCTCACAGCCAGCCGCTGCACCCGCCGGCACTCGCCCACCTGGAAGATGTCTTCGGGGTTGGCAAAGGGGAGTGTCACCAGCAGGTGGGTGAAGAACAGCCCCATGCCCATCCTCCTCTGGTCCCTGGGGCTGGCCCCCACCCAGCTCCACCCTGGCATGTACCATTCCTATGCAGGTGGATCACAAACAGCCCGTCCTCGGTGCCCAGAGCAAGCCGGTCCTGGTCTAGTAGAGGGAGGAAGAGAATCAGGGGTCAGGGAGCCCATCTGGCAGCCGGAGACGAGGCAGCTTGCCTGTCCTTGCTGAGCCTCAGTTTCTCCTGAGGACATGGGGATGGCGATCCCAGCTCTCCAGGGCAGGGGCTGGCTCAGGGCCGCGGCCAGCTGCCCGGGGAAGCCAGGAGGCACTGCTCCCTCACTTCCTCATGGAGGTCCCGCTGAGCGCCAGGCTCCTGGACGACCACAGCAGCCCCACAGGAGGTGGTGTGAGGCTCCCCTGTGGTCTCCCTGCTGCCAGTAAGAAAGCCAGCACGGGGAGCCCTCATTCGTCTCTTGCTAAAAGCCTTTGCTCTTTTCACTCACTTAAGATTCTTTGAGAAAGCACAGAGAAATGGAGTGGCAGGAGCCAAGCCCCCGGCCCCCCGGCTCAGGCTGCCCACATAGCCATGCCCAGGGGAGGCTGGCGTCCGTAATGCGGAGCGTCCGCAGCTCGTGGCTGTAGGGACTGGGCAGGGACCCTCCCAACAGGCCCAGACTCCTCCCCGGAGCCCGCCCAGGGCAATGCCCCTCAGCGTGCGGCTCACCGATGACAGCGGCGCAGAGCGCGTGGGGCAGCAGTGGCAGCCCATTGTCATAGGCTTCCTTCAGTGTGTACACCGGCCTTGGCCTTGGCCGCGTGTCCAGCAGCAGCCGCTGCAGCTCGCCCAGCACCTGCAGCCAGCGCTCCCGCTCGGCCTCACTCTCGGCCAGCAGCAGCACGGTGCACACGGCGGGGGGCACGGTCAGCTGGGAGGCTGTCACCTGTGGGCAGGGACCCAGGCTGCAGGGCTGTGGGCCGACAGCCGGCCATCCCCTCCCTCCGCCCTGGTCGATGCCTCTTAGCACCAGGTGAGCGGCCAGGTGCAGGGCCAGAAGCTGTCTTACAGCAGGTGATTCGCCAGACAGGACGGTCAAACTGTCCCACCACCAAGGCCAGAGCCCAGAGCCAGTGCCGTGGTCGGGGAGGGACGGGGCATCGTGGAAACACACAGCCCCAGGCCGACAGTGAAAGATGACCTCCCCGGGGAAGAGACATTTCTGCTGGAGCCCAGGGGGTGAGTGGAGTAACCAGGAATGGTCCAGGCTGGAGAGAGGCTCGGGGGCGGCCTGAGCCAAGCAGAGCAAACAGGATGGGAAGGGTCCGTGGTTACAGGGCACTTTTGGAACTGGAGAAAGCGAGCCGTGTTCCGAGCAGAGAGAGGCTCCAGAGGGAGGCGGGGGAGGCCCACAGGGTCAGAAATGTGAAGCCTCAAGGCCACGGTCAGGAGCACCCTGAGGGTGATGGGAAGCCACAGAAGGGTTCTAAATGAGCAGAACACGGCCAGCTTCACAAACAGAAAGCAAACCGCACTGTGGGATGGAGGCTACCATAGCTGTCCTTGTGGAGGTGGCGCGGGGGTGGGGCGGGGCGTGGACAGGGCAGCCACGGAGAAGGACATAGAGGAGGGTGGCTGGAGCAGGGCTGCGTGGAGGCAGAAGGTGGCCCGGCCCAGCCTGCCTGGCACTCACCCTGAAGATGCGGGGCAGGTCCCTGGACTGGGCGTGGATAACATCAGAGGCCAGGACCGGGGTGGCTGAGAACTGGGGGTCCCTGGAGAGGCCCATGGAGTTGGTCAGAGGTCACAGGGCCCCTGGCCGCCTCCCCCCACCGCTGCAGCCCTTCGCCCCTGCCGGGCACCCACCTCAGATCCAGGGCCTGCAGCAGGGCCCCGCTGGCCGGGCTGAGCCGTGGGTCAGGGGCGTCAAACAGGAGCAGGCGGGAGTCGCTGAGGGCCGCGAACACGCGCTGCCAGCCGCGCCGGACACCCGAGGGCCGTGGCACCTGCGGGGGGGCAGGGGGTAAGGCAAGCACGGGAGGGCCCGCCGGGCTCTGGGCTCCGCCCGCGCTGGCCACCCCCGCCTCCTCCCCAGCCAGCCACCGCTCACCGACAGGAAGCCCTCGTAGGCTGTGCCCGTGCCCGTTTCGGGGTGCACTCCCAGGGCTGCGTGGAGGAGGTCAGGGGGCACAGGGCAGGGCGGGGCCTGGGGGGCACACGCTGAGTGACAGAAGTAGCCACAGGCTGTGGGGAAAGCAGGAGAAGCCGGTGGTGTGAGCCTGGGTGGGGACAGCCCGGAACCAGGACTCTGAACTCTCACCAATTCCCCCATCACGTGAGAAGAAACAAAACAAGAGAGCAAAATGGAGCAGCGGGAAACGAGCTGCAGAAAGTCGAGGTGTGTCAAGATCAGGGCCGTCTCATTCCTTCCACCCAGGGACGGGAGGGGGGCGTGAAGGTGGGGTGGGGGCCTCACCGTCACAGCCTAGGCCCTGGCGGCCCAGGCCCAGCATCAGCGAGGTGCAGCGGAGACACTTGGTAGGGGATGGGAAGCTCCGGGGCCGCAGCGCGTGTGAGCCAGGCTGGGGAGGTGGGACACGCCCGTTACCTTCGCCTGACCGTGGCCTCCCAGCGGCCTGCATCCCACCCCCGAGGCCAGCCTGAGGGGTCAGGTGGGATGGGGGAATGGGCCCGTGGCGTTGTGAACCCAGCCCCAGTGAGTCTGTCACAGCACTCAAACTCACTGCCACCGTCCCCCGTGGGCTCTGCCAGCCATCATGCCCATGGAGGGACCCAAGCAGGTCCTTGGAGGCCTGGCAGAATGGCTTGGTGCCCCCAGCCTGCTCCACCCCTCCAGGTGCTGACCTTTACAGGAGGACCTTCTGCAGGGGCGGTGGGAGCAGCAGGTGCTTTGGGGAGCACGGCCTGGGGGTAGGCAAGCAAACAGGTGAGGAGGGCACAGGCAGCCGGTGGGGCCCAGCCCCCCAGACGCGGGACTCCCGCCTGTCCTCACCCCCAGGCGCAGGCTGCGGCGGCCCTCTGGCCTCAGCTCTGGCTCCACACCAGGCCTCAGGGCCTCCCCTGAGAGGCCAGGGTCCTTGGCGGAATCCTTCTGGGGAGTGAGATGGGGCGTGGTGGGGGGAGTCAAGGCCCCTGTGCTTCTCCTCAGGACTCCTCCCAACCAGCCTGCACGCACAGTTCTTACCTCTGAGCTCCGGAGGGACAGGAAGGGAATCAGGGAGTTCGAGGGCTTAGTGTCTGCAAACAGAGAGCACAGGTCACTGGAGGTGGGTCCCTGGCCCAGCCCTAACACTCGTTCCTGAGCAACTGGGGGCCAGCAGGAGCCTCAGTTTCCACCTTGGTGAAATGGAGCAATGACTGCAGGCTGTGGTGGCCTCCGTAAGTGCCGGGTAACAGTGGGGTAAGCAGCAGAGTCTGGAACAAGCTCTTGTCTCCACAGCCCTGTAAGGCCGTCGTGGGCCCCCCTTCGTCCCCATGAAGCTTGAGCAGGGGCCTCGCTCCCAGACAGGCAGGCAGACGAGCACTTACCCCCTGGGCCGCGGGCCACCAGTCCCTCCCGCAGCGCAGCCAGTTCCTGCTGCAGGCCCTGGTTCTGCTTCTCGGCCTCCTGCAGGCGGCTGAGGGAGGGAGAGCTCGTCAGAGCCCCCCGCAGAGGTCCGGAGCCCCCTTTGCAGGGCCTGCCCGTGCTCTCACCTCTCGGCCTGCAGCTGGGCCTCCTGCATCTGTGTCAGCCGCTCCTGCAGGCTCTGCTTCGCCCGGATCTCGGCCTCCAGGGCCGACTGCAGCTCCAGCCTGGCAGAGGCATCCATCTTCTGCAGCCGCCGGGCCTTCCACTGGTGGTCCTGGTGGCCAGGGGGCGCCCAGATAAGGGGCTGCCTCAGAGGCCCCTTCCACCCTAGCGCAGGCCGTCCATGCCACCTGGCCAGACTCAAAGCCCTAGACTGGCCACTGACCTGCTGTGAGCTCAGGCAAGTCACTGATCTTCCATGAGCTCGGTGTCCCCGCCTGCCGAGTGAGGCTCCTAGCACGCCCACCCCCCAGGGTGTTTGTAGGGGCTCACCAGCGGCCGGGGAGGGAGCGTCTGGGTGCCCACGTTCCGCAAGGACTCCAGCTCCTCGGCCATCTTGGTGGCCAGGGCCTGCAGGTAGCCTCTTGAGCTCTTCTCATCATTCACCCTGATTGGGAAGGGGGCTCAGGGTCCTGGCCTGGACCCTCGGCCCCGCCTGGGCCCAGCCCCTCCCCCACTAGCCCCTTGGCCCCCACCAGCTGAGGATGTCCGCGATCTGGGCCTCCCAGTTGCTCTCCGTCTCCCGCCGTTCGCCCTCCAGCTGCTGCTTGCTCTGTTGCTCCCGCTCCAGCTCTTCCACCAGCTGGGGGCCAGGCGGGAAGAGGGGTCAGTCCCCAGGGGCCCCTGCACGCCCCGGAGCCCCCTCTGTGTCCACCCTAGTTTACCCACCGTAGCTCACCTGCCAGCTGTGGGTGCTACCGGGCTGGGGAGACTGCCTGCTCTGGGACCCTGGCAGCTCGGACCATCCACCCGGCCAGCTCCCCACCCCTGCCCCACTGCCTGTCAGTCTGTCCGCCCTCCATCCGCCGTGCTCACCCGCTCCTGCTCCAGGCTCAGCCGCCGGTTCTCTTCCTGTAGCTGGCACAGAGCCTCCTCCTTCCCACTCAGCCTGGGGAAGAGAGGATGACTCGATGATTCCCAGCACAGGCCCCCCTCCAGTCCCCCACCCCGGCAGCCCAACTCACCCGCGGCCCCAGGCCTGCTCCAGCTGCACACGCAGGGCAGCCACCTCCTTCCTCAGCTGCGCTTCCTGAGGCCCGCCCTCAGGCAGCCCCGTGCCATTGGTCTCAGAGGCTGTGTGGATGGTCTTGAGGACACAGAGAGGGGTCAGGGCAGGGGCCTAAGGAGCTATGGCCCACCCCTCCCAGGGACCCAGGTGGGGCCCTCAGGGCCCTGAGTAGGTTGGGCCAAGGGAAGTGCCCCTTGGAAGAGGGTAAGACCTCACTACCTTGACCCGGAAAGATTCCTTCTCGAGACTTCGCTCCCTCTGTCTCTGGAGCTGGGTCACCTCCCGGCAGAGGGTGGCCACCTGGGCCTGCAACTGTGACGAGGCATGCGGGCAGCCACTGCTGACCGTGTCCACCCTGAGCCACTCCCCCGCCTTGCCACAGACTCTGGGGTCTGCCGGCCACAGCAGGAATGCAGGCAGTGAACCTCCAGCCGCGCCCCCCCCCACCCCCGCCAAAATGCATCCCCTGGCTCGGGCCTCGGTCAGCCACAGTGGGGCCGCAGAGGCGCATGGTGTTGCCAGCCCCGAGGCCTGAGCTCCCTAGGCTTCCTCCAACCACCCTGGGGGGCCACAGGGGCAGGGCTCTGCCGCTGTCCCCACCCGCCCCCATCACTCACCCTTCTGCTGCTGTCCTGGGCTTCCTCCAGCTGGGAGCTCAGGGCCTGGGTCTGGCTGGCTGTGGCCGCCTCTCTCTCCTGGGCCTCCTGCAGCCTCTGGAGAAGGTCCTCCTGCCGCTCCTGGGCTCTGCGGAGCTCCTGTGCCTGCCCCCGCAGCCCTGCCTGAGCCTCGGCCAGCTCCTGGGCAGCCCGAGAAGGGCGGGGAGGGCAAGGCCTGGAGTCAGGGCACGGACCCCCTTAGCATGGAGCCCTGGGCCGCGCCCCGCACCTCACCAGACCCTCACCCGGACGAGCCGGTCTCGCTCCTGCCGTAGGTCGCAGTCCTGGCCCAGGCTACCACCCTCCGTCTGGGCCTTGCTGTCCCTCGGTGTCTCTGCCAGGAATCGTCACTGAGGCCCACACGTACTGACGGCCTCAGCCAGACACGCCGTGTGCAGCGGCTCACAGAACCCCCACCACAGCCCCGGAAGTGGGTCTCCTTGGCCCATTTTTCTACACGTAGGTTCAGAAAGTTTAAAATACTTCCCTGAGATCACACCTCATATACAGAGTCGGGGCGGGACTGGAATCCAGGTTGGACTCAGGTGTGCTGGGGAAAGCTGCTCAGCCTCTGGGGCGAGCATGGGGGAAAGACATGGGGTGGCATCGGGGGGGCGGGATACCTGACAGCCTGCCCTGTAGGGTCTGCACTTCCTTCCGTAGGCGCTCCAGCTCCCGGTGGTCTGAGGAGACCTGCAGGGCCTCTGCGGAGCGGGGGCACCCGTCAGTGAGTAGCTAGTCCAGCAGTAGCTCCCGGGTCAGACCCACCCCGGCCCGGCTGGGGAGCCCGTACCTTGGAGCTTCCGGCTCAGCTCCATCTTCTCCTGCTCCAGACAATGGAGCTGCTGCTCGAGGGCAGCCAGCTGCTCAGAGCGGCTCTCAGGGCTCGGACTGGGGACAGCAGGGCGACCCATGCTGGCAGAAAACCCTCCCCCGCAGAGCCCGCCATCTTCCCGCATCCAGTCGTCCGTTCACCCAAGAAACAGCCTCTGTCCGCCAGCTCTGTACCCAGCCCTGGGCTCCGTGCCGGCAGAAAAAGACCAGCCTGGACCAGACCCCAGCCCAGGGCTGCGCCCCAAGGTCCCCCAGACCCAGGTTCAAGCCCCAGCCCTGGCCCTTTTGAACAGTCACCTAACATATCTGAGGAACACCTCAGTTTCCTCACAGGCCCTCTTCCAGGGACTGGCACGAGGACGGGGAGATTTGGGCCAGCTGGCCCCATGCCCAGCACACAGTGGCGCTCGGAGTGCGGGTCAGACGCCTTTGCTTGCACATCAGAGTGCCTTCTCAGCGCAGTCTCAGGCCAGCCCCTCGAAAGAACTAGATCACCCGACCCAGTGTAAAATCGGCATAAAGAGGCATAAAGCGCAGCTCAGGGACTTGGAGGGGCCCGTCTAACTCTAGGCCTCTAGTTCTAAGTCCAGGACATTCTCAGCCTGCATGGAGGGTCCTCTAAGGGCCAGATGCTGGGATAGGACCCACAGGGGGCATAGGCAGGGCTCCACCAGAATCTGAGGACAGGGGAGGTGTCTTCCCGAGGGCTCCGAGCACACTCCTGGACCACCTGTCACAGGCAGGCACCAGGTAGGCCATTCAGCCTCTTTCCCGGGGTCCCAGCAGGCCACGTGCCCAGTGTACTCCAGGCCAGGCCTCCCTCTAGGTATGTGAGGACGAGACTCACCTGCCCGAGGTGTAGGTGAAGCCCACGAATGGCAGGTGGTGGCCGGAGAAGGCTCCGTGGCAGGGTGGTGGGAGGGTCCCCTGCAGAAGGAGGGGAAGGAGTGTCACTCTCAACAGGCAGGCCTGGCTCCAGGCTGAGGCTCAAGACCCAGGAGACTCCCCTGGGACTGGGAGTGCCGACCTCCTCCTGCTCAGAGGGAACCGAGGAGGGTGACATGGCCCCCACCTAAACAGACCACGACTCCCACAAGTCCTTATGGCCACGGCCTCCCAGGCGCTGCTAGGGTCTTCTTCCTTACAAGACCTCTGGTTAACAGGATGATACTTAAAGTCCGAGGACCTCCATCCGTTAAAACCCACCGCGGTACAGGTAAACCCGCTCAGGTGAACCATAATGCCCGTGAGCCTCTGGGGTGCGAGGGCCTCATCCTCCACCCAGCAGCTGCTCTGGAGAACTTCTGGGGGGTTCCCACAGCCAGCAAGGGTCAAGGCAGTGGGACCCACTACTCACCGGATGGTTGAGGGTGTCGTCATCCACATCGAAGTTGGAGGTGTCCATGGGCCCACGAAGCTCGGGGATGTAGGGGGCGGTGCTGGTTGCCAGTCGCTCCCAGTCCACGCCTTCAAAGAAGGGGTGGTTCCGGAAGTCGTCCAGCCCCCCACGACCCAGCCGCCCCTCCTGGCGGCACAGCAGCTGGCGGATCAGGTCCCGGGCAGTGGCCGGCACGTCAGGCACGTCTGAGGGAAACTGCAGATGGTCCTGCAGGCCAGGGGGAGGGAGGGGTGCAGGTGGGCACCCAGGACCCCACCGCCACCTGCGGCTGTCCCAGCCGTGGGGGCTCAGGACTCCTGCTGCCCTCCCAGAGCCCCAGAGCCTGGCAGCCAGACCTCATGGTTCATGATCTTGCCGTAGGTTTCCACCAGGGATTCAGCATAGAAGGGCGTCTCCCCAAAGAGCAGCTCGTAGGCACAGACGCCCAGGGACCACCAGTCACACTGTGGGCCGTAGTGGCCTTTGCCTTCCTCCATGGCCTGCAGGATCTCGGGGGAGATGTAGTCCGGGGTCCCTACTGCCACTGACGAATCCACCTGGTTGGTGGGGGGCGCGGTGAGGACGCCATGAGGACAGCCTTGGGCTTGGCTAGGCCTGATGGCCCCTCACCAGAGCCCCCGGTCTGGCCCTGACACCCCCCCTCCCTCAGGCTTAGCCAGCCTGCTGACCCCACCTGGGGCCTCGACTCAGTCCCTCCTTCCCTTGGGAGCTCTCCGGGCCGGGTGCCCCTGCCCTCACCCTGGGGCCTTACCATACCACTGTTGTTGAGACGGAGGCATGAACCGAAGTCAGCCAAGCGGATGTGACCATTCATGTCCAGCAGGACATTGTCTGGCTTGACATCCCTGGAGGAGCGCAGGGGAAGAGGGGCTTGACCCACAGGTGTAGGTGTGTGTTCAGGCACATGCCTGGATGTGAGTACATGGGCACACGCAAACACCAGCATGTATCTGCTCACACGTATTCCCGTGAGCATACGGGAACAATGTGTGTGCATGCATGTGGCGGGGGGCCGGTGGCGGGGGGGGTGGAGGCTGGTGGCAAGGCCTCCTGGCTCTCAAGAAGGAAGAAGGTGGTTAGATTGGGAAAAGCGACCCGTAAGGATGATCTTTGGAGGCAGCAGGGCACGCCGGGGGTTACACAGGAGTCAGACTTCCCGGGTGCAAACCGCTAGCTGAGTCACCTCAAGCCAGGTGCTTACCTAGGCTAAGCCCTGACTTTCTCACCTGTAAAGTGGGGACAAGGGCAACCCCGATCACATAAGGTTTTTAGCATGAGGATTCAAAGACATCGTGTATACGAAGCACCCAGCATAGGGCGTGGCATGTGGTGGGTGCTCAGCAACTGTCAGCTGTCCCCAGGGCAGTCAGCAGGTGGGTTGCGGGCCCTACCTGTGGACGTAGCCCAGCTGGTGCAAAGAGTGGATGGCCAGCACCATCTCAGCCAGGTAGAACTGAGCCAGCTCGGGTGGGAGGCGGTCCTCAAAGCGGCTCAGCAGAGTGAGGAGGTCCCCACCAGCATAGTAGTCCATCACCAGGTACTGGATGGTGGTGGAAGGGGGGGTGGGCAAGAATCAGACGGGGAGGGTAGGGGGGTACCTGTCCCAGGTCCCTGCCTCCTGCCCACCTCCCCATGGTTCTGAGGGGTTCTGGGAAGGCGAGAGTGTCTCCCAGCAGCTCTAGGGTCGCCAGCTTCCAGCCAGAGCTCAGGCAAGGGCTCCAGGCCCAGCAGCTGGTGGGGAGTGGAAGCCTCGTGGTTCCCATAGGAGGGGTCTCTCTCTCCTCAGACCCAGCATCTCCTTTGTCCCCAGGCAACACCCTCCAACCTTGCCGAGTCTCCTCACCAGGTACTCGTCATCTTGGAAGGCATAATGCAGAGCAGTCACCCAGCGGCTGTCCCCCTTCACCAGAACGTCCCGCTCCTCCTGGAAACAGGCAGTCTGCAGCAGGTTTGGGGAGGAGAGGGAAGGATGGGATCAGGGCCCAGGAAACCCTCCTCCCCAGCTCACGGGATGAAGAATAAGTAAATCTAGGAGCTGGGACTGAGGTTGCCTGTGTAAGCCAGAGCCTGTGCTCTCTGGCTCTGGGCCTCAGTGTTATCATAAGGAAAATGGGAACTACGCTAGCTTCTAAGAAAGGCTTATCGTGCGGAAGCAATAGGGGAGGTTGGCAGTTGTTGGGGTGGGTCCTCTGCGGGCTCAGCAGCCTCTCCTGCCCCTTCCCCAGAATGCCCTGTATGCCCCAGTGGCAGCACACCCACCCCCTGTCCCTTGGTAGGGTGCCCAAGTCCCATCGGACCCCAAACTGACCTCGGCCCTCTTGAGCATCTCCCACTTGTGCAGCATTTTCATGGCAAAAATCTGCCCACTGTCCCTCTGCCTCACCACGGCGACCTGAGGCCATAGGGAGCACCGGGGTCAGCTCTGCCCAGGTGCGAACCCCATCTTCCCACCTACCCCATGCCTTTTGCTCACCTCCCCGAAGGCCCCTCGGCCGATCACCTTCAAGATCTCGAAGTCATCTCTCTGCAGCCTCAGCTCTTTTACCTTCGCTACGAAGGGGCTGGCTGAGGGGCACAGAGTAGGGCTCAGGGAACCCACAGGGAGGGCCCTGGCTCCCTCTCTTGCCTGAGGAAAGTAGAAGCTGCAACCCCCAGGAGGCCAGAGCAGGGATGGCCTCCCCAGGGGTGGCCTCTGGTCAAGTTGCTAAGAGTAGGAAGCACGGAAGGTGGGGTCTGGGCTTTGCTGACCACCTGACCCCCAGACCTCCTGAAATCCATGGTTCCCTGGACCCGCATCCCCAGACTCGAGGCGGTCTCAGTCCCAGGGGCTGATGGAACTTGTAGTCCTTCCCAGTCTGGGGTTGACCCCGGCTGACCAGGTCACCCTGAGGAGGAAGGGGATACCGTTCCCACCCTCAGCTCACAGTTCTTGGCGCCTAGCAGGACCAGGCCTGTGCCTGTCTTGGGAAACTGGACGGACAACATTCCTTGTCCCCAGAGAGGCTTCCCTGCCACTGGGAGCTGTGAGCCCTGGTCTTGGGACCCTACAGGCACAGAGGTACCTGGCTGGGAGTAAGGCCTGAGGCAGCCCCGGAGGACAAGTCACACAGTGGTTCCGCAGGGTTCCGGGAGGACAGGCTTTGTGCTCCCCATGTGGGGCCTTTTCTGTCTGCAGGCATAAATAGGTCTGCCCACATTCTCACAAGACTTAAAAACGGAGCCAAAAAACCTTTCCCTGGTGCCTGATGCTGGCACCTGAGGGAGCAAACACTCAAGATCTTCTCCAGGCCTGACCAGCCCTACAACTCTAGGCCCTGCCTCCCTCTCTGGACTTGGCTTTTATCTGAGCAAGAGCCTCCACGTCTCCCAGTCCCTGATACTCCCTTGAGGGGCATCTCCAGCCACTCCCAGGCCTTTTCCAGGCCCGGAGAAGCCACAGGCCTGGGGAGGGAATTGGAGCCTGGAAACTCAGGGAGGCAAGAATGACGGATGGGAGGTTGGGGGCAGCTGCAGTCTGGCTCCCTGCCTCAGTTTCCCCCTGCCAGCAGGTAAACTCCCTGCCAGCTGGGCGGGTCTGTGGGTGGGACAGAGAGCTGCTCCACAGGTTTATCGGGCAGAACCCCCGCAGCAAGGGTGGTGTGGAAACTTCATTACAGAAATTAATTGTCTCCTTCCCAGGCCTGTGTGTGCAGCTGGGAGGAGCAGCCCAAGGCCTCCAAGGGGGAACTGAGGCCAGGTGGCTACCCATCAGCCGGACAGGAGCCAAAGCCAGGGGCCATAGTCAGGAGGATCACGGTCCCCAGGACAGGCTGCCCAGTCCTCTGGCCTTGCCGCAGGGGACGGGGGCTCTGGGCAGGAGCGGGGACGAGTTGGAGCAGGAGCTGAGTGAGTCACTGCCCTGCCAGTTACCTCGGGAGATGTCAACAGACAGGCCCCCATGCTGGGGTCCCAGGCGGAGACGCCAGAGGCTGGCAGGGAGGAGCACATGTGTGTGCAAACACACACACACACACACGTGTGCGTGGGCGTCACAGCGGGTGATGACAACACGGTCAGATACACATGAATAAGGTGCAGAAGTGCCAGGGAGAGCGGCAGGCACCGGAGGCAGGGGCTTCCTGGCTGCCCTCACCCTGGAGGACAGGGCTGGGCTGGGGGCTAGCTCACTGGAATGTCTTGCAGGCCCCCAACCAGGGCAGGCCAGGCCTCGTGCCGGCCCAGAGCTAAGGAGTGCCAGGAACGCTAGTCACCCACTGGGCAAACACTGGCCTCGCCCCACCCTCCGGGCCGGGCCCCTGTGCCCTCCCCCCACGGCCTGGCCAGACATAACCAGGAGGCCTGGGGCTGGTGCCGGGCCGGTGTCCGCACTGGGTTGAGGGTTGCCCCAGGTCAGCCACTTCCGGTGACTCAGAGGAGTCAACCAGAAGGGGTGCAGACCCACCTCCAGCCAAGCCCCCCTCCGCGGCCCTGGGGAATAGACCTCAGGAAGCCTGGCCAGCGACCTGCACAGGGAAAGGGGCTGAGGTTGGTTCCTGTGTCCAGTTTGGGGTGGCCTTGTATGCCGAGAGATGGAAGTGTCTGTGTGTGAATGTCTGCAAGTGTGCGATCCCTGTGGATCTGTGAGTGGAAGTAGAGAAGTGTGTAACAGCCAGTGCGGTTGGGGTGGTGTTCACGGTGAAGTGTGGGGCTCCCCGGATCTCTCCTTGAGCTGTGATTATCTCAGCGTGTCCGTGTGATATGGGGGAGACAGAAAGCGCGTGTGTCAGTGCGGGAGACACACAGGGGTCTGCATGTGTGCCTGTTTGTTCTTCAGGGTCATGAAGTATGATGTGTGAGTGAGGAATCCCTGACGTGACTCTGTAGCCCGTGTATTGTGTACCTGAATCTGAAGTCTATACTTGGGACCAAGCTTGTGTGTCTGTGTAAGTTGTGTGTTGTGTACACGCGCCAGCTTCTGTGCGCGGGAAGGAGTGTGTGTGTGTGAGTCTGAGGCAGGATAAGGTGTGCAACTAATTGAGAGGGCCCAAGGGGTCGGGCGGCACGAATCAGGGCCGGTGCGGGCTCCGCGCGGGGAGCCCGTGGGGGTGCCGCTCCCTGCGGGAGGGTCTGTGGGCGCAGGGCGCGGGGGGGAGAGGGTCCCGGCGCGGTGTCCCTCGGGCCGCCCCACCTCGGCCCCACCTCGGTCCCGCCCGGGTCACTCACCCCAGCTCAGGAACTGCGCCACGTTGCGCTCCCGCCGGAGGGGGGCGCTGCTGAGCTCGTGGTGCAGCCCCAGCAGCAGATCCAGGAGGCCGTCGAGCCCGGGGCCACCGCCGGCCTCGCCCCGCGCCAGCCGC